ATCACTTTCAAGTTTGAATACTATATCTTTATTTTCATTTTCATTTTCATTTTCCATAGAACGTATCAGAGCAGAGGCTTGTAAAAAGCAAATATTTAATAGATATATATCATATATGGCGGTGCCCTTTCTAGAGCTGTACCACCATTTTCCCCTCTCTCACATCGTCTTCTCTATCAGCAGCTGACGAGAGACCCACACTAAACCATGTCTCAACACAATTTTCACGAGAAGTTCGATTTGAACTGAAATTTATATTAATTAACGCGCAACACACTCTGTGTGGTGTGGGGATTTTGAGCGGTTTCTGTTCGAGCAGTCGATTTCGCCTTTCTTCCCATCGGAAACTGCAAAGTTTACAGAAAAAAACGAGAGGGCCAAACATGGTTTTGGCACAAATGTTCAGCGCGGGTTCAAGTAAGCTTCATGTCTTTTTTTGTTCGGTGTTGTGAGTCTGAACATGCATGCGTAGCCGCGCGCACACACACACAGTGAAAAAACCGTATTTATGATAATGAGTATAGCCCACTTTTAATTTGTGTTCAATTCGTATGTTTGATGCGAAAAGATTGCATTTGTGTGTACAATTCGTATGTTTAATTAATGTGAACTGATTGCATCTTTATTTTCGAATCAGGTATCTTATGTTGTCTTCTCGTTATTAATACAGGCAGCTTCTTTTTATTGTTTTATTTTTTATTTTTTTACTTTGCGTGTGACTGTGCTGAACTTGCTGTAACGGTTCCGGAAGTTTTGAATGGGCGATGTTTCACTGGGTTTTGTGTGTTGATCCAAATGTGAATAAAAAGTTTTTCAGAATGGATTTTGATAAAAAATTCACAACAAGGTGAAATCGAGGAGCAAATGAAAATTTTGAACAAAGTAAATGACAGGGGCTGGGTAAGTTTCATCAGAGTAAGATTTGTGTTGTGGGAGATTTGAGGCCACATTTATTATTCTTAATAAACAAACAAACAAATAAATGTGGTCTAATCAATGTGATACATCCAAAATTTCTAAAGACAAATCATGAGTGGCTTTCCAAACCATGAAAAATTGAAAACACCTACTTAATTATCACGTCATCCCAGTGATGTGGACTTTCATTATTGACAGGATACCCTTCTTCTTGTTTAGACGATTTATGCAAGAAAGTGCAGTTTTTGTGTAGTTTCTCCACTTTCTTCTTGATGGGCCCACCACTCACTTTACTTAAATTATTGAGGACTTAAAAGAAAAGGGAAAGAAACATTGAACCTCAACACTCTGTGTATCTCTTGATTTTCTTTATTTCTGTTATTCAGAATTTGGAATTTTTTTTTTCATGGTGATTTTTTTCTTTTTTGGTTGTATTCAGCTAAAAAATGGTGTTTGTTTTCTGAAAATTCTCTTTTGATGGTTGAAAAGCATTTGGGGAAGGCCTTTGCTACACTCACTGGTCACAAGATTCATGTTTCAGTTTTAGCAAGTGATCTTCTCGTGAAAACTATCCCTATGCCTTTGTGTGCGTGTGTGAAGTGTTTGATGGTTAAAAATTCCATTGGAGATTAAAAAAAGGGAATTAGAAGTGAGGTGGCTCCTTTTTCCTCCTTTTTTAATTTATGCAAGAAAGGGACAGAAAGTGATAACAACAAAAGCATTCATGTGCTGACTCACACAATAGCAGAGTTGCGTGTCTTGGTCATAAAATAATGTTTTCAGCACTTTCTTTGCATTTTCACAGATTCCGTGTACTTTGTTTTGGGGTCCGGGACGGATTGTGGAGATAACTTTGCTAATAAATGAGTGAAAAACTGTTAATTCGTGATCATTGATGATGGCTTTCCATTGGACAACAGGAAAAAGTACGTGCCGAGTACATGCATTTTCACACGAGTTGATTGCTTATAACTAATTCACATTTTTATTTTTGCAGGCTTAAGATACAGTTGCTCATTCATGCTTAGATAACACTACAATGATATCTACGTCCTAACATTCCTTTTTTTTTGTTTGTTACCTAAGGGACCAACTGAATTAATAAGTTTGTCAGTGAACTGTGAGGATTATTTACACATATATTTGGTATAATTGCATAGTTGCAATAATTTCGTGGAGCTTGCATTTGAATGGTGGATTTCAGATTGAAGTATGGCTTTAAAAATTTGAAATGCAGTTCACCGATCAATTTTGTTTTCTTGATGCCCCTCAGGTTTCAGGTTTCTTCAATTTAAGCCCGCATGGCCCGAACTCGTATCCCTCTGCCTCTGGGAGGATGCGAGTATAATCTTGCAGCTCGTATTCCTGTTAACTTTATTGCTATGCTTTGTGAAAAACAACGTGTCCTATTTCAGCCAAGGCAGAATAAAGGCGAACGGAGTAGAAAAAATCCCGACAGATGGCAAATACGGGCTTCCTTACAAACTCAGCGTCGTCTGTTCTGTCCTAATGCTCGGGACTCAAGCCGTACCGTTGCTGATGTGGCAGACGAAAACGGGACCTCATTGCAGGTCACATGTCTCGATACTTTCATCCAGGATCATGCAAGTGGTATCATGGTCGATAGCTTTAGTTGTACTGTACTCAATTCGAAACAGGAGGAGTATCAAGTTTCCATGCATTTTGAGATTCTGGTGGAGTTTTACTTTTTTGTTATCCCTCGCTCGTGCTTTGCTCGATGCACATTGGATTATGACGAAACATATCCGCCCCAGATTGCAGGAATATTCTGACATAATTACCCTTTTATTTTCTACATGTTTGCTTGGTTTTTCTATCCGGGGTAAAACGGGGTTGACTTTTACCATCCCGAACGAAATTACCCAACCGCTTCTTAACGGGAAAACCGAAAAGAGTTCAGAAGGCAAGCGAGACAACAGTCCATATGGAAAAGCCACTCTCGTCCAGCTCGTCACCTTTTCCTGGCTTAATCCGCTCTTCGAATTCGGTTTCAGAAAGCCTCTCGATCAGGATGAAGTCCCAGATGTCGACATCAAGGACTCGGCCGCTTTCCTATCTCAAAAATTCGACGAATGCCTCAAATACGTAAAAGAAATCGACGGGACCGAAATCCCGTCCATTTACAAAGCAATCTACATTTTCGCTCGGAAAAAAGCTGCCATTAACGCCCTTTTCGCCGTCACGAGCGCAGGAACTTCATACGTGGGCCCTTACCTCATCAACTACTTTGTCGAATTTCTGAACGAGAAGAAGTTCCGGAGCTTGAGCAGCGGATACCTTCTCGCGCTCGGTTTTCTCAGCGCGAAAATAGTCGAGACCATTGCACAGAGGCAGTGGATCTTCGGTGCTCGCCAGCTGGGTCTCCGTTTGAGAGCCGCGTTGATTTCTCAGATTTACAAGAAAGGGCTGATTTTGTCGAGCAAGTCTCGTCAGAGCCGAACGAGTGGCGAAATCATGAATTACATGAGCGTGGACGTGCAAAGAATCACGGATTTCGTGTGGTACTTAAACACGGTTTGGATGCTGCCCGTGCAAATCTCGTCGGCCGTTTATGTTCTCCACATGAATCTTGGACGAGGAGCTTTCGTGGCACTAGCAGCGACTTTAATGGTTATGGCGGGAAATATTCCCTTGACGAGAGTTCAAAAGTGGTATCAGATGAGAATCATGGAAGCTAAGGATAATCGAATGAAGTCCACCGCTGAAGTCCTTAGGAATATGAAGACGCTCAAGCTGCAGGCATGGGACACGCACTATCTCGAGAGGCTCACGGGCTTGAGGAAAACCGAGCACGGCTGGCTTTGGAAGTCGCTCAGGCTTTCGGCTCTTAGTGCGTTTATCTTCTGGGGTGCACCGACTTTTATCTCTGTAGTGACTTTCGGAGGGTGTTTGTTAATGGGGATCCCTTTAACAGCTGGTCGGGTTCTCTCGGCTTTAGCTACTTTCAGAATGCTTCAAGACCCGATTTTCAACCTGCCCGATTTGCTCAACGTGATTGCCCAGGGGAAGGTCTCGGTGGATAGGATCTCGACTTATCTCCAGGAGGATGAGATAAAGCCGGATGCTGTTGACTTTGTTCGGGATGGCTGTCAAACTGGTCAAATGGGGTTTGATGTGGAGATTGACGGTGGGAAATTCAGCTGGGATATGGATTTGGAGAATCCGACACTCGACGGGATTCGGCTGAGGGTGAAAAAAGGGATGAAAGTGGCGATTTGTGGAGCGGTGGGGTCCGGAAAATCGAGCCTGCTTTCGTGCGTGCTTGGAGAGATGAACAGGCTGGCGGGGAAGGTGAGAGTGTGTGGGTCGAAGGCTTACGTGCCTCAGTCGCCGTGGATATTGACTGGGAATATCCGGGAGAATATTCTTTTCGGGAGGTGTTACGAGAGTGAGAAGTACGAGAGAACCATTGAGGCTTGTGCCCTGGTGAAGGATTTCGAGCTGTTTGGTGCGGGGGATTTGACGGAGATTGGGGAGAGAGGGATAAACATGAGCGGGGGGCAAAAGCAGAGGATACAGATTGCGCGTGCCGTTTATCAGGATGCTGATATTTATCTTCTGGACGACCCGTTTAGTGCTGTGGATGCTCATACGGGCACACAACTTTTTCAGGTTTTATTTGTTTTTTTTTTTAAATGTATTTTTTTTCAGTATCTTTTGGCGTGAGCTGAATGGCTGGTGGTTCTTTGTTCTATAGGATTGCTTGATGGGGATTCTCAAGGATAAGACGATTCTGTATGTTACACATCAAGTTGAGTTTCTGCCTGCAGCCGATCTTATTCTGGTATGTCTTGACTCAACAAAAAGACGCTCTTTATTTTGTTTTTTTCGCAAAAGCGTGCGTGTGTTCGATAATGGAAAGCATAGGATCAGTCACCTATTCTTAGCTATAAGCACAAACCTTATCATTGTAAGGAAGATGGAAAATCACTCGTTGCGCGTGCAGCCGTGCACATGAAAAAGAAAAGGCAAAAATGCATTTTTAGTCATGTTGGTTTAACGTCATAGCAATTTTAGTCCCAAGATTCTAACTTTTTGCCTTTTGGTCCTGTGATTTAATATTTTCCATCAAATTTGACTTCCTAACAGGTGATGCAAAATGGGGAAATCGCGCAAGCCGGCACGTTCGACGAGCTCCTGAAGCAGAACATCGGGTTCGAGGTCTTGGTCGGGGCCCACAGCCAGGCCTTGGAATCTGTGCTAACCGCCGAGAGCTCGAGCCGAACCACCTCAGATCACAACAACAACTGCAGCAGCACACCAGCAGTCGAGAACGAGACAACAGACAATGACTCGGACCCCAGCCAAGAATTTCCCCACACCAAACAGGACTCAGAACACAACCTGCGAGTGGAGATAACCGAGAAAGAAGGGCGGCTAGTCCAGGACGAGGAGAGAGAAAAAGGAAGCATCGGGAAAGAAGTCTACATGGCGTATTTGACCACGGTCAAACGTGGTGCATTAGTCCCGATCATCCTTCTCGCACAATTGTCCTTTCAGGTTTTGCAGATTGGTAGCAATTACTGGATGGCATGGGCCTGCCCAACTGGGGATAGCGAGCCAGTGGCTGGGATGAATTTTATACTGTTGGTTTATACACTTCTTGCAGTTGCTAGTGCCTTTTGCGTGCTGCTTAGGGCTTCATTGGTGGCTGTAGCGGGTCTTCTCACAGCTGAAAAGCTCTTTAGTAAGATGCTGAATAGTGTTCTTAGGGCACCCATGGCGTTTTTCGACTCCACACCAGCTGGAAGGATATTGAACAGAGTATGTTTACATCTTGAAGGACATGTGATTGTTGGGCTTATATTTGCAATAATATTTTTTTTTTTAATTCTACGCTGCTTTTGACTTTCAGTNTATGGTACCAGGTGAGCTGAAAAAACCTCAGTTCGATAAGCAGATTATATAGCTATAAATTTAAATTATCTTTTTTTGCTTAGCATCTTGAATAGATTAATCTTGATCATTATTTAACTTTCTTTTAACCACTTTTTTTTTTTTGGTTGCTTAATTTTGTCATTCATGGATAATCTAACCTATTGAATTCCAAGTAATTTTAGTTGGTTCATGATTTTCATTTTCAGCAATATTACATACCAACTGCTAGAGAGCTCGCACGCCTAGCTGGCATCCAAAGGGCTCCAATCCTCCACCATTTTGCAGAGTCGCTTTCGGGTGCTGCAACTATTCGTGCTTTTGATCAGCAGGAAAGGTTCAGTGACTTCAACCTATGCCTCATTGACAACCACTCGAGACCTTGGTTTCACAATGTGTCGGCCATGGAGTGGCTCTCCTTCAGGCTGAACCAGCTGTCGAATTTCGTGTTTGCCTTCTCGCTCGTCTTGCTCGTCACTCTCCCAGAAGGAATCATAAATCCAAGTAAAGCTTGATTTTCTCATTATTACAGCAAAACACCCTTAAAATTTAGTGTTCTACAAATTCTTCATTGATTTTGTTATTTTTTTCCTTTTTTTTTTTTTTANTTTTTTTCGGCATAACTCGTTCACTGCTCCTTCACAGGCATTGCTGGGTTGGCCGTGACTTACGGTATCAATCTGAACGTATTGCAAGCTTCAGTCATATGGAATATATGCAATGCGGAAAATAAAATGATCTCGGTCGAACGCATTCTTCAGTACTCGAACCTTGCAAGTGAAGCCCCACTCGTAATCGAAGACAGCAGACCCCCACAAAACTGGCCCGACTTCGGAAATATTCGTTTCACGAATTTGCAGGTAAGAAGACACCAAATGATAAATAAATAAATAAATAAATATATCTTTTACAATTTTTTTCGACATGATTTCCTTGAACAGATACGATACGCAGAGCATTTACCGTCAGTCTTAAAGAACATCACGTGCACATTTCCTGGCAAGAAAAAAATCGGTGTTGTCGGGAGGACGGGAAGTGGTAAATCGACGCTCATACAGGCGATTTTCCGTATCGTGGAGCCTCGGGAGGGCAAAATTGTCATTGACGATGTCGATATTTGCATGATTGGCTTTCACGACCTGAGGTCGAGGCTCAGCATCATCCCACAGGACCCGACCATGTTTGAAGGGACAGTCAGAGGAAATCTTGACCCACTCGGGCAACACTTTGATATCGAGATTTGGGAGGTACGATGATTCATACCTTAAACATCACAAAAACATATTTTTAACTCGTCTTACATCAGCCTCTTTTGTTAGGCGCTCGATAAATGTCAATTGGGAGATATCGTGCGTGGAAAAGCTGATAAGCTTGAATCCACAGGTTAGTTTTTGAATTTTTTCTATTTTTTTTTTTTGAGAAGTCAAAGATAAAGGGGGCATTTTTGCAAAATTTTCCCATTTTCTTGAATTTTTTTCTAATTTACCGAACACTCCCTAAAGTAACGTGCGATTTTTTGGGCAGTGGTTGAGAATGGGGAGAATTGGAGTGTTGGCCAGAGGCAACTATTTTGTCTCGGGAGGGCTTTACTTAAGAAGAGCACGATTCTTGTTCTTGACGAGGCTACTGCATCGGTTGACTCGGCAACTGATGGAGTTATTCAAAAGATTATCAATCAGGAGTTTAAAGATCGAACTGTAGTCACAATAGCACACAGGATACACACGGTTATCGACAGTGACCTTGTCTTGGTGCTGAGTGATGGTAAGAAAATGAATTTTTTAGGCTTAATTAATTACAAAGAGTACCCTTGAGATGCAATCTAATTTCAAACCTGGCCCAGTTTATACTTATATCAAGTGCATTATGGTAAGCTCTTTCAAGTCTAGTTATGTGGTTAGAAAACGAACGAAAAACCTTTTTTTTTTTTTTTTTTTTCTTGTCGAGCAGGAAGAATAGCAGAGTACGACACGCCGGCTAAGCTATTGGAAAGAGAGGATTCATTCTTCTCCAAATTAATCAAGGAGTACTCGATGAGGTCACAGAGTTTCAACAGCTTACAAAAGTTGCAACACTGAGAAATTACTTAATAATCCCCAGGTTATGCGCATATGCCATTTTCGAACGTTGGTTTCGATTTGAAAAGCTTCTTAGATAAAGTTGATGACGATAAGCGGGACACTTGTAGATTCTACTAAATCCAGAAATAAGTCAGATTATCGGCTTCTTTTTGCTGAGGAAAGCAACACTTTAGAGTTTGTGAATGCTCTTGATTCTCAGACATTCAGCATAATCTCATATTTTGTGAATGGAATAATAGTAGTTAATATGAAATATTAAAATTTCATTTCCTTCGTAATTATGTGATAATGGCATCAATCACCTTTTAACAATTCTTGTTCCAACTTTTGAAATGTTTTGTATTAACTTGATATATAACTTTCTTTGTTATTTCAGGTGCTTTTAGGAATGAACTTTTATAGGTGGCTTGAATTGTGAAAAAATTGAAGAGTAATATATTTTATCTGGCTATTGGTTTAGTTAAAAAATCAAATTTGAAACGGTAGGTACAAACTTTAGGTGAGTTAAACAACAGCTTTTATTATCAAGCATACAATATATTCATTCCTAGATGCCATGCCACGTTTGTCGAGTTGTAAAATTGAACTACAATGTCCATCATTATTAATTAACTAGTATCTTCTTCATCCATCCGTGGGATACACGGGATATATTTATTAAAATATTTTAATTAATATATATCATAAAAAGTAAATGACAAATAACTAACATCATTATTGAATCGGTAGTAAAAATACAATATTGTATGTTATTATAAATTGTGAAAAACTTCTCTATAAAAAACATTTTTAGTAGTTTTCTTTTCTCCATAGAAAACTTCTCTCGAGAAACAGCAACTGATCATGATTAAACACGGGTCTTTTCAAGTAAAGTCCGACATGGAATAACGACATGGTACCAATACTTTATGTCCAGCATTTGATTCGGTTAGAATCTCACATTCAAGCACGTGAGTGGCAAGCTTCGTTATCACAAAGCGTGTTCCATTACAAAGTCCGATCAAATGGTCAATGTTTCTCAACAACATGACAGAAGTCCCAATCTTTAAGTGCAATTCATGATTTGGAACACTAGAACATTTATTTGGTGCTTCCATATTAAAAAAAAGAAAATGCTAAATAAAGTCTCCTAATAAAACCATTCCATTCGCGGGAATAGAATTCCAATAAAAAATTGCAAATAATAACATTTGGAATTTTAACATCACATTAATATTTTTTTGAGATATGCAAAAGTGATGAAAACGAACCTAAACAAAAATGATATAAGTGCATTATAAAGAGAAAAAGAAATATAAAAAATAAAAAGAGAGATTGAACGAAAAAAACCTCTAGTGACCCCTACACGATAAAGCTCACTCAAATATCAAATCTAATCGTGATAAGTAACCGGACACAATCTTGACCCTCCAACCATAATCCACCGGCCAGCAGTCTCCGCCTCGATGTACACGTTCTTGCACAAGGCCGTGAATAACGTGTAATCGGAATAGCCACCCGTGAACATGACCCCACAATCGAGCGCCTTGGACTCGGTTTGTTGAGGCGTCAAAACAGTGGCTAAGAGGTCACATTCCCGGAGCCCGAGTCTTTGTCTTCCATATACAAGGGCTCCACGAATTTCCCTGAAAACTCTGGCGTAGGCTTACACCGGGCCCACACGCTCAAATCCTTGATTTTCTTGCCGTTGAGCTTCCCGACCGAAAACCCTAGTTCCCACACGGCTGTATTAATATTATTAATCGTGTTGTTGTTGTTGTTTTTGGTGGTTATTGTGGATAGGGAGACCGACTCGATTTCGAAAGTCGGGAAGTGTGGCGGCTTGTTACTTACTACGATTACGGTTTGGCTATGATAAGCAGCGAAACTGAACCACAAATGAAGGTGGCGCAGCAGACGGCGGAGGACGATGGTTCCTTTTGATCATTAGGAGATGGTGGTGTAAGTGTTGGTGTTGCCATTATTGCTTTGTGTTTAGGATTATGAATTTGGTGCGTGTAATATGTAGTCTATATATATAATTCATTTTTGGGTTAGGAATGTGAAACGATTTGTTCTGTTTATGATGTGATAAAACTCTAATTCCACTAGCATTCTCATCATAGAATACTCCTACCACCAGCAGACCTCATTCTGGTCATTAAATTAGAACCGCGCGTGTTAGCATGCATTTGGTACTGATGCACAAGTTTGTGTTTTGTGGGAATTAGTTACATTGATCAAATAATATATGATGAATTGAATTAAAAATTCTATTTCTATTTATTTATTTTTTATATTATTTTTAGTATTATAAAAGGATGAATGATTTTATAAAAAAATAAACGGCCTAATAAACTATAACTTTGACATCGCCCCTATATATAATTACCGAATGCGCTGAGCCTAAGTGGCAACCTCGAGTGCTTCGTAAGTTTATTTGTCATAAATCTGTGCTTCGTATTGACAAATGTACATGTTTGGTTTTGATTATTAGGCTTGAGAATTACCATAAATTTTAGATACTTTTACATACGTTATATAATATTTTAAGTACTTTTAACCATACAATTTTTTTTTATACTAGATAATTTTTATTGTTTATAACTGATATAAGACACAAATTATATCACATATTAACTCCACATCTTTAATTTATAATTATTAGTTAATATTGTTTACACTCATCTTTAATTTATAATTATTAGTTAATTTGTTTACCATCATCCTTAATTTATAATTACTACCTTCTATTTTTTTAAATGTCATTTTGACTTTATCAACAATTAACTAAAAAAATGACGTTTTGAATCTTTTGTACATATTTTTTCATTATTACCTTCATCTAGTTAATAAATACACTACTTCTTTTCATATTTCTCAAAATATTTATCTCTATCTTCAAGGGTTAAGAATATAATGGAGTATTATTTAATATTGTTATCCGTGAATCTCAACTGCTAGTGTTCTACACACTAGTTCATATCCAATCATAGCCGGCTGAAATTATTCCAAACATACCATGAGCATCTAACAATTTTGCAAAATGTTAGGGCCCGAATTGCAATGTAAAGTATAATTACAAGAAACCCCGCGAAATTCCGAATTATCAACCACACAGTTCGCGCGCGAAAACAACGGGATACCAATCGACACGCAAAAGAGAGTTAATAGTTAGAGATTACTGTATGATGGCGGCATTAGTGATAGCCAAAAGCACGCCCAACGGCGGAGGCCGAGCTCCGGAGAATCGGAGGCCGCCGGCTGCCGCGAGGCGTCTTCTCTCGGTCTCGAAATCCTCACAGGTCATTCGAAACCGACACACTTCTTTATTTATTTATTTTTATTTATTATGCTTCGATTTATCGAGCTCGGACAGCTGAACTTTTGCAAGAAATGACCATAGGGTTTTGATAATTGATGGGTCTGAAATTGGGAGTGTGTTTGTTGTGTGGCTGTGCAATATGAAAGTTGAACCTTCGATTCGGTGCCCTGAATTCGGAAGTTTTTTTTTTTTG